GTAAGGTGATTGACTGACTGGTTTCAACGTAGAACGGTGCACAGATGTGCAGCAGTTCGTGTTGCACACTCCATATAGCACAGAAAGCACGAGAAGAGAGTAAGAAGAGATTCCAAAGAGAGATAATAAACAAAAATATGAGGAAAAAAGAATAGTTATATGAAAAAACGATAGGGTTTCATCGGATATTATAAATCACAAAGAGTGAATGCATCTGTGCTATTGGGAACGATTTTGAGCCATAGCACCCTTTGTCTCTAGGCACTGGTCTGTACCATCCGGGGGACGCCAACCAGGAAGCTTAAACTTCGGCGCAGAACATGGCCAAATCACAGAAGGCGACGTTGTTGGACCAGTACTGGAATTTGGTTGATGTTGTAGCAACGACAACGCACTTCTTCGTTGGAGAGTTTGTCCTGCCAACGAACATGCAAAATTAACCTGAGGCACCAATACTCTACTACCTCGAGTCTGCGTAAATCTTCCGCGCGAAGAGGCCAGGTTTCACAGCCATACAGGAGAACGGGTCGTATGGAGGCTTGGTAGACCCGAGTTTTAGTCCTGAGACTGATTTCCCTCTTGCTCCATAGAACGCTCCTCAGCTGTAGAAACGCATTCCGGGCGTTGGAGATTCCCGCATTCACTTCGTTTTTCGCTTGACCTTTGGGGAGCATTATGGATCCCAGATATCTGAAGGATGGCACAATTTCAATAGGTGCTCCATTCAGGGATAAGATTTCATCATTGCTGGTGGATGTGTTCGAAAACAACAACTTAAAAGAATTATCTAATCAAATGTAAATCTACATTATGTCCTGAAACATAAATCACTGAACTGTTAACGGTTAGTTGTGCATAACCCTACTGATCTATACTCCTTATGAAGGTGAGCGAAGTATCCACTTCAGACTGGTTACTTGCTGAAGTGAAATTGACAGACTGACAGTTGCTATCACCAACATCTATCAGGAAACCGAATAAAATGATAATTCTGTTCTTGTTTTGAATAGTTTCTGACTCAAACTCTGAATTTAGCTAATGTCTATAAACAGAAAATTTTTATATGAGTATTTTAAATCAAAATGTCACCATTCATAAATTCTATGTCAGGGAATAATAATAAGAACAATGTGGATTTCTTTGAGCAAGCAAACATCACATCTGTGGTGAGAGCTGTCTGCTAGCCAAAATCGTAGACACCAATTTACGTCCCAAATAGGGGCCATGAGACGAACAATAACAAAGCTTAATTTTGAGGGACTCAACAACCAATCACATCAGACTTAGCGTGTGCAAATACGATTCGCAGATATATGGTCTGACCTTCAAAGAAGCAGCCGCAAAGAGATAACAGAATAACTTCCAGCAACCAATCAGAAGATGCTGTTTCTCTGCTAACGATAACGAATAATAATTTACATAAATATCTCTTGATTCTCTCAATAAACGATCTGTTGTATGACCCTTGTTTTTTGTCTACTACGGGACCCGAAATTACAGCTTCTTGGACAGAATTCTAAGAAGCTATCCATCACACTACAGGAATCTCTACAGCCAAATACTTTAAATATACAATGTAATTAAATAGTCATTTATCGGAGTAGCAGAGGAAAACTGGACATCTGAAAATTGCTTCATCTCTCTAATCAAACAGAAGTATCATTCATATTGTAGTCGTGAAAGGATACTAATTTCCAATGAAGCGTGTTTAGACATTCATTTCGAAGCATTTTCAAAGATAAAAAGTAGTCTAATTCGAATGCTTCTCATCTGGATTAAATTGTTATTTTATTGAAATAATTGGAGAAAATTGAAGGTTTTGGCGATTTCGATAAAGTCAGTTTTCATAGATTTAATCATTATTACCGTTTTTCATTAAAATACAGATCTGAAGCATAGGCAGGTCATACAATTGGCATATACTTTAGTTTATGTGTAATACATTGACTGGTTGGATTACATCCGATTGCATATTTTATTTATTGAAATCTTGTATTCAGTAGCAGATGATTGCACCAAAATGCTCATCTTTGTTGGACATTTCTAATCCGGAGTTGAACGGAAACAATAATATTATTATTATTGTTTCCTTTAATTCCTAGAGGAACATAGAGCTTCAGTCGTGCGTCTCGATTGCGTTCAGTTCTCTACTAGAGTTTAAACCTGGCTCCAAGTCTTCCCGCATGCTTTCATCTCCTCTTCACCCTTGGACGACCAACTTGCCGCTTCCCTTTCGGGGTCCAATCGAGCAATGGCTTGTCTAGTGATGTCACTTGATGATTTCCTCAGAGTATGGCCAATCCATCTCCATATCTTCCTGCCTATTTGTTGCGCAACCGGTTCCTGGTTGGTTCGCTCAATCCCAGAGATCCCTGTTGCTGATCTTTTCTGGCCAGCCATCTGATCTTGAGTATTGAGCGAAAACAGCTGTTAATGAAGGTCTGTAGTTTGTCTGAGGTGCTCTTTATGATGCGCTAGGTCTCTGACATGTATAGTGAGTAGCACTGACTTCACATTGGAGTTGAAAATCCGGAGAGTTGAAAACAATGTTTTCTCATGTATTTAATTTAAGCATTTTTCTTCTTGACAGTCATTAAGAGAATGTAACTTTGATAACTCACTCACTGTTTATCTCATCTCTTCATTACTATGACTATGAAAACACCTATAGTGCTTTTCGCAGAGACATTTTAAAAGACTTTGACAATAATGAGGTGAAATAATTCATATTATATTACCCATATTTAATTTGACTTTTTACACTGATATCATGCGCGACTTTAAATGTCATCCTGATCACTACAATAGCAAACTATATCAGCTCATATTCATTTTGTGTGATGAAAAAAGAAAAGTACCTATCCAAAAATATTAACATTTGGTACTTTTATATTTCTATTGTGAAAAAGACCGCTTTCTTAAAGCGTAGTTGATTTCATTGGGATGCCTGACAAATATTGAGAGTATTGTTATGATAAGATGACGCTTAAGTTTTTAGTGTTTTTTTAATATTCCTAACGAGTACACATACAGACTAGTTTGAACGCCATATTCTGTGGTCTTTCCTTGTGGTGTTCACGTGCACAATCTCTGAGTCTGCAACTCATTCTAACCAGCTAGATAAGTTCTAAATCCTTTTCCTTAAATGACCCTAACTTTTCATCTTATTCAAATCATACTACTCATCAGGGTACATTACTAATTAACTGAGTCGTTTTGATTTTTGTTTTGTTGGTACAGTGTAGCTAACCAACAGAACTCCTATTACCTTACAAGTTCATTGTGATATAATCCTATAAGTGATGACGTTGGGTAGGAATGCAAATACTGGATAAACTGGAGGATAACCTATCAAAATCAAGCATGATCTACGCCTCCAAATGTCAGTCTATCTACCTGTAGCGACATAAAAATATCAGGAAAACCAATCCAATTAGAAAATCGAGTGATTTTCACTTATATCAAAAATCACGTAAATGTGTTCACTGTTATAAAAGTTTACAACTCATAATGAGCCTTCATCTCTAAATGTGTGTAAATATTTAACAGTTGAAGATTTTCTATAGTTGGTTTGTAAGGATTAGTTTTATTTTTACGAGTTGATCACGAATTGATATTATTTAGAGAACCACTGAAAAACATCAAGGAGTACTGGACAGCTGCTGTTTCATCCTAGTTTGGGAATCATCTGCAGTACGCACCCACTGGGGTTCGAATCCAGGACTTTCCGGCTACAAGGCAAGCTCGTATACCATTCAGTCACTGGGACCAAATTCAGTGGCTAGTCCATGAATTCTAACTTCTACCAATTCGTGATTTAGCGCGACTCCAACCATTGTCGTTGGTGGGACATCCATCCACACACGTGACATCTAATTAAACCTCACTGGTCACGACTTCTCACTAGAACTGCAGGAAACTCCATCCTGTAGCAAGTCACTAGCGAGCATCAGATTATTTTTCTATAATTTGGTTTGTAAGGGTTAGTTATAGCAATGCATACTGCTGATGATTCCCAAACTAGGATGAAACAGCAGCTGTCCAGTACTCCCCGTTTGTTTTCAATGGTTCTCTAACTGATGTCAATCTGTGATCGACTCGTAAAAACATAACTAACCCTTACAAACCAAAACTATAGAAGATTAGATATATGATCAGTAAGGTTAAACTGTACGATCTTTTGATACAACTTAGTTTCATTTGTATTAGGAAAACTGTTGTTATGTTCTGCGTTTACTTTCCTATGATTCTTTGCAATAGATATTTAAATTACTATGACTTCATGGTTAGTAACAACTGTTGTCTACACGGAAATAAGATTGCTGATACTCGTACCAAGTTAATAATAGTAATTATAATGTTACTGTGGTTAAGTTTTTTCTCTTATAATAACAACGTTATAAGGTAGTTTTATCTCTGCTGCACCACTGATATAAAGAAATTTTTCAGATTTGTTCCTTTTGGTTGCCTGATTGATTAGTAGTATTTTAGAAGTAATTTTTACTAAGCTACTTTATTATAGCGCTAAGGGTCGCGCTATGTCGTGAATTGGTAGAAGTTAGAATTCATGGGCCATTAGATTGTTTCCCAGTGGCTTAATGGTATACGAGCTTGCCTTGTAACCAGAAGGTCCTGGGTTCGAACGCCTGTGGTGGGTGCGTAATGCTGAAGAGTCCCAAACTAGGACGAAACAGCTGTTCAATACTTCCTGGTGGTTTTCCAATGGTTCTCTAACTGATATCACCTCATGATGAAATCCTGTAACCAATCAAATCCCTACAAATCAACACTTGAAAATTGTCGTCGTTTAATAATAAAATACTTTCTCTCTCTCTTTTTCTAAGAAGTAATTTTCTTGTAATAAGTAAAGATTTACATATTTGTTTTTATTGAGTAGTAAGCTAACATAACACCAAATAGGAGATGATGATGATAATAATAATAAAATAAAATTTAATCTTTACCAAACAAATCCCAAACGTTCGTTAGATTTAACTTTTTTATTTGTTTTGTTTCCATTTAAAACAATGCTGTTACTACTACTACCATTAATATTATTATTATTGGTGCTTTTGTTCACCTCTGTATTTGTTAAATCATCATCTGTTTGTGTATTATTCAATTCATTTACGTCAGCCTTAACCAGACTTGGTTTCCCTGGTAACCCAGTGCCTAAACCAGTCATTGCTCCTGTATGTGCAGCTTTCTCCAAAGGATAAACATTTCGACCATTTGCTCTACAATGATTGATAACCTGAATAGTTTTATATGCAAAAAAAGAAGAATAATAAATCATGATATCAGTTATAGAAAAAATATAGATTAGTACAATTTTATGGATAGAAAGCAGGAGGTAAGGGTTAATGGTGTACTGTCAGGGTTGGAAGCAGTACTAAGTGGAGAGTACCTCAGGGTACTGTACTTGGCCCCTGCTATTCCTATTATACGTAAATGAAGTGCCGAAAATTCTTACCTCATCTTCCCTACTATTTTCGGACGATATAAAGATATGGAAAACTGTAAATATTAATTAGATGATAGGTTAGAACTACAAAACGATCTAGAAAAATTATCCGAATGGGCTAACTTTTGGGATCTGGAAATTAATGCCAAGAAAAGCGCGGTAATGCACCTAGATCAGAAGTCTTACATGTTGTACTCTATGGGGGACACATAACTGCCAGATATTAGGGGACAAAAGGACTTAGGAATTACTGTTAGCTATTACTTAAAAACAATGGCAAACTGTAATCGAGCCGCAGGTAAGGCTTTTCAAATGCTGTGGGCACCCTGGAGCAGGGTGAAAAAGTTGTCAGAAAACCGAAGGCAATGGAGGTGCTCAGCTGAAGCCCTATGTTCCTCTAGGAACTAAAGGATACAATAATAATAATAATGTTCCAAGTACTCTATGCAGCATATATCAGGCCTCATCTAGAGTACTGCACACAAGCAGCGAGTCCATGGTTCAAAAAGGAAGCACATATCCTGGAAAGAGTACAGAGAGTAGGAACGAAATTAGTTAATGGTATCTCACGCCTTCCTTATGATAAGAGGATGGAGCATTTAAATCTGTTCCCATTATCATACCGAAGGAGGAGAGGCGACTTAATTTTGGCTTAACGTATATTCAAAGGTGATTTAGGGATTGACCTTTCAAACATTTTCTCTCCCTCCACGATACATTTACGATGTCACCACAAGAAGGTGCTCAAACCGAGGTCGAATAAAATACGTTTGGAGTTTAGATTCTCTCACAGAGTGGTCAACGACTGGAACTCCTTACCTGATTCCGTAGTGACAGCTTCATCGGTGAACGCTTTCAAAGAGGAACAAGATCTCTGCAGAGATATATATCGCAAGGATTAACATAGGCAGCAAGAACCTTCTATCCTTATAATCTGAATCTGAATCTTACACCAAGGCACTACAAATGATGTATGAGTTCTTCTGGGAGACTATTTTGTCATTATTCCATTCCAATCATATGTATGGTTATAAGAATAGTAATGAATTACTTTACTGAATTTATTCTAAAAGCTTCATATAGTAGTGCATACCTTTGGGTTATAACACAGTCTAATTCAAATGACTGGTTATCGCACATTTAAATAAATTATAATTTTGTAGTCATATTTTATATTCTAATGTCCTATTTTATGGCAGAATGACGCATTTTTTCTTCATTCTTTGAGTTTTGAGTGCACACACGGCTTTTCATGCTTTTTGTTTTTAACAAGTTTCACTAACGTTGGTATTATTTTTTAAAGAATGGAATCTCTAGTCTTACTCCCAGCTTCTTATATTTTCTGGGCTTACTGTCAACTAGTCCAAGTTTAACAATGCATCAGCCAGGAATCATATCCGGACCAACCGGCATGGATAGTAGTGACTGAGTAAAAGCTAGGAATCCTAAATGAAAGATCACGTTGAATGATATATAATTTATAATATATGATTGGCGAGTTCATGAAACACTTAGGCATCAAACGGCTGATACTAAATCTATGTACTCAGAAAGAGACAATGGTGAATCTTGAACTACCATGGTGATAACAAAGCACGCAAATTTCACCATGTTATCTTCTGTCCTGTTTAGATTTGTCCTTGGTTTTTTTTTCATCTAGACATGACTCATCCTACTCCTCCTTTTTTTGTCTATTTTATAAAAACGTATTTACCTGTGGTTACGTAACCTGTCACTTTTTGTACTCTTTATATTTAAACTTTGTTTCTACCTACAAAACATCTGTTGAACTCTGTCCTTTTGTCCCTAAGCTTAGTCATGCAATTCTTCTATAAATGGTTGATCCTTATCACCCTTAATTATTCAACAACTTACATTATTCTTGACTAATGTTACTCTTAGTTCCAATCAGTTACTCATTATCGTTGTAAAAAAAATTATCTTCAGATCTTTAATTTAATTTATAATTTTGGTACTGTTTAGGTTGTGACGACCAGTTGAGAAGGATCCACGAAACAATAAAAATAAAAAAAACATGAGCTCAGATTATCCTGATACCTTTGTCGTTCTTATTTTATTCAAACTTAAAATTATATTGAGAATACTAATGTTTACTATTGTCAATTAGAAATGAGACATTTGTTGTACATGCAATAAACTATTATTCATAACAGAAATACTTAGCTTACTCTGTAAGCATAATCTTGAAAGATATTCTCTTCGATTTGGATAAGTTTATTTTCATTACCAGCTATTTCAATTTCTTTTTTACGTTCTTCTATAGCATTTTCTCTTTTATCGATCTAGGTAAACAATTCAGAAGGAAATAAACGTAAGCGAATAAACAAAACTAAAAACAAATGCTAAAAAGAACTTACCATTAACTCACATACTTAGCAGTTAAGGTGAGCAGTTTAGTGTGTGTCAGTTAAAAAATTTTCAAAAATACCTGACAACTACAGCAGGTTGAAGATGAGGCAGTAACTCATCGAAGAAGACATTGCGAATTGATCGCGCTATGTCGTGAACTAGCAGAAGTTAGAATTCAAGGACCGTTGGATCGGGTCCCAGTGGCTCAATGGTCTACGAGCTCGCCTTGTAACCGGAAGGTCCTGGGTTCGAACGCCTGTAGTGGGTGCGTAGTGCTGAAGAGTCCCAAACTAGGACGAAACAGCTGTCCAGTACTCCCAGGTTTTCCAGTGGTTCTCTAACTGATGTCAGCTCGTGATTAAATCCTCCATGCAACTACAAATCCCTTTGGGAAGTTTAGATATTGGTGGAGACATAAATTTTCGGAGTGTTCATGATGTAAGTTGCAAATGACAGATTATAAAAGAAAGTGACTGAGTAGTGAAATACTTGTAAAATATGGTCTGATATTCCTGGGGTTTGGATTTTTGAGGTAGGAGGAAAGGGTGGTTACCGCACATCTCCAAAGAATTTCAAATCGGGACGAAATGACTGTCTAGTACATTTTGGTTTCTAGTGATTCTCTAAGTGATAGCGATTTCTGAGGATATCTACATCTACAAATCTTACTATGAATAAGTCAACATGTATCCGTCCAGCTCAGTCTTATCAACCAAATAACTGATTATCTGCTTCACAGTAATACATAACAATTTCAGCTGTACAACAGTCACATTAAATGATTCTCAGTCTTTCAAATGACGCGATAAAACCTTTTGCTTAAACGCTTTAATTTGGTTCCTAAATATTTGAAAATCTTAAAAACTTATTTGCACAGATTTGTTGACTGTAAATTAGCTCTATGTTGATTCATTCTGAATAAGGATGTGTTGACTGAAATATGAACGAATTTCAAATAGGGTTAAGTTAGTGCTGAAGATGTTATGAAGAAGGACAATGAAGTCTTTACAACTAAACCATCCAACTCAGAGGACACAACTCCACTGATATCACTTATCTGAGATTAACATCTCCATTATTTCGAATATATCTCTATTCTTAACCAACTGTCTGTCTGTCTGTCTGTTTTCGACATAGAACTTTGCACATATGTGCGGCAGTTCAAGTCGCCACACTCCATGTAGCACACAAAGCAAGAGAAGAAAGTAGAAGAAATGCATAATAGAGACAGTAAACAGAGACGTGAGACAATTCAATGAAATCTTCAGATTATTATTTGGAAGCAGTTGCCTGTTGGACATCATCAAGAATGACATTTTAAAAATATTTGGTACACTTATCATGGATATAATAAATACATCAGTATCTGATAACTGTTTGTTGGAGATGTAATTGGGATAGAGAGTTAACCTTACCATGACTATAAGTATTAGTTGATCAAAATATATAATCGTCTACTTCAAAGCCTTTAAGGTTTGGGAAGCAACTAGATACTTCGCATAAGCTGTGTGAAGTCTAAGTTCACTACCTTCACAGTTAACTTCATCAGTTTCTGTAATAAACCTATCAGTTGAAGTTCACCATCCTGTGCTTCGCAGGCGAAAAATGCTAAGCCATGATCTCAAAAATTTTAAAAGTAAAACTATTAATAAATGAGACTGTTAATCATATGCACTCAGAAACTTACTACACTATTGATCACTGTCTGTCTGTTTTCGACATAGAACTTTGCACATATGTGCGGCAGTTCAAGTTGCCACACTCCGTGTAGCACACAAACCAAGAGAAGAAAGTAGGAGAAATGCAGATAAGAGACAGTAAACAGAGGTGCGAGACAAAGGAATAGTAAAAGTGAAGAACAATATAGTTTCATTGGAAATCATAAGTCACAAGGAGTGGATGCATCTGCGCCGTTGAGAAGGATTTTGAATCATATCACCAGTTGTTTCCAGCCATTGGTTTCCACCTTCCCGAGGACCCCAACCAGTCAGGAAGTCTACAACTCCTACGTAGATGGCTTAAACTAACTGTTGTGGATTTCATTGGCTGGTGCCATGTTTTGGTTTGACCGCCGCTAGCTCTTTTCCAGCCTGACCCTATATCAGCTAACATTGCCCGTCAAGGAAGGCGATGACTAGACATACGTAACCAATTAATTATTATAATGACGTTCAATTTCTTCCCTGCAGAATTAACTGGCCTCCTAAATCTAAAATTCATGTGTTTCGTAGGCCTCAATATCACACAGCCTGTCGAACTACAATAGTGCATGTGTCAACCTAAATATCTATGTTTTAGTGTAACACTGGTACATCGGTTAGTAAAAACTTACCGATTCTTGTAATAATTGTCTAGAGAGGCCTTTAATTTCTTCTAATCGTTTCGCTTTACATGCATTTTCATATTCAGCTACAGCCAATTCTGCTGCAATCCTTTCGCGTACTTCATTGTATTCTGCTTCTTTTTCTTTCTCTAATTCTTTTCTATGTCTGTCTATTTCATGAAGTCTATGCTCATTAATTTCACGGATAATTTTAGCTTGTTTCTCAAGTTTCTCTTTCTCATCCAATTGATATTTCGCCTCTTTTTCAGCCGTTGCTCTATTGAAACGCGCTTCTTCATTTTCATGAGCACTTTTCAATTTTTCTGACAAGTAGTCTTGTATCTTTTGTAATTCAGCTTCTTTTTGTCTAGTTTAATCAAGAAAAGAATACATCGCAATAAGACTTTTTTTTCCAACTGGTTTGTAACCAATAGTTTCAATTATATGTTTCCTTAAACAATAAATGATTTATAAGTCAATTGGTGGATGGTGACTGGAAGTGGAATCCAGGATGCGCATTTCGTCCTATTTCGGACTCGTCACTGGATGTATCTGCATTCCCCAGTGAGTGATGATGTTCCCACCGAAGCTCAAATTCGGTGCGCTTAGTTTCAAACGCCAAAGCATTATCCACTAATTCACTTGGGCCACGAGGGCCACCTCTTGTGCAAAGGATCATCTTAATTATTTAATTGAATTTTAAATTTTCCCTTCGATTGATTGAACCGAAGTGCTCGGTCTAATTACATGCCCAAACATCGTCGAAGCATTGGCACAAGAGACCAACATGTCAACCTGAAACCGAGCACTTTGGTCCAACCAATAGATGGAAAAATCTAAAATTAAATTTAATAAATGATTTACTTTTGTCACTGCAACCATTTGGGATCCTGGTATATCAGTGGACCCCGAAAGGTAAGCGGCCAGTGGGACGTCAGGGCAAGGGTGACACGGAGGAGATCGTGTGAAGAGGAGTTGAAACAGTATGGAATAACATGGATGCAAGTGAGGTGTACAGCAGAAGACAGAAGCAAGTGGAGACGTGTAGTTGAAGCCCTGTCTTCCACTAGGGACCCAAGGGAACAATAATCGTAATAATATTCATAAAAATCCTTACAGTTCTGTAGACGAAGCCAACCATGTCTCAAAGATTCCCCCAGTTTTAGTTCATGAATTCTGATTTGACGGACTGTGGATTTTTTATAACCGACCTTAGACCAAGATCCTTTGTCAATTTTTCAGAAACCTCAGATTCCATGAGTTCTAAAATATAACTACCTATCAGATATGACGAAATCATAGATACTATTTGCAGTTCTGTAATATTTTGCTTAAATTATTGAATGTGAATCTGTGAAATGCGCTCAGGCAGTAGCATTTTTATCATGAAGAATAAAGAGGAAAAGAAGACACTCTGTGAAAACCAGAAGAAACCACTGAAGATGTCATGTGTTTCCAAGCAGTTTAATTATTAACGGTTCGTATTTAACTGTTATATGTAAGAGAGAAATTAATTTGATGTTAAGCATGACTGTACACGTCGAAAACATCTATTCTGATCCAGTCACAACTTTCTCATGAAACATCCATTTTTTCAGGAAGTTCATCTTATGGTTGTCAACACTGAAAATATTAAAAAAAAATAATAGGTAGTGTTTCCTTTGTCCTCCTACTTTGAGATTATGAAGGTATGAGTACATTAAAAACAAAAATAACTTTCAAAACGGTTACCATCTACATAACAGTACAAGCAGTAAAATGACGTCATTTTCAAATATTTTCTTTGCGATGTAATAACTCTTATTGTAAAAATGATGTATTTAGAAATATGTGCTCGTTAATCCTTTTTGCCCACATTGTATAATCTCATGCAATTGACATTTTTGTTAGTCTATTTCAGTTTAGACACGTTAGACACTCCCAGGTCATACTTTGCAGTCAATGAATATATCTGTGGTGAGAGCTGGCTGCAAGCAAGCCAAAATTGTAAACAACAGTTTGCGTCAATGTTACATCCCGAATCCGGGCCCTGAGATGAACAATAACAAAGCTTAAGTTTGAGGAACTCAACAACCAATCTTAGCAGACTTAACGTGTGCAAATATGATTCGCAGATATATGGCTTAACTTTCTGAGAAACTGTCACAAACAGTACAGAATAACTTTCAGCATGAAAAAAACCAATCAGAAGACGTTGTTTCTCCGCTGATAATAATATACATAAAAATCTATAAATATCTCTTGATTTACTCAATAAACAATCTGTTGCCTAGCCTTTGTCTTCTGTCGTTACATATCATTTAAAAATGACATATTTTAAGTCATCGGCTGTTAGTCTAAGCAATGTAGATAGAAATAAGCGACTTGTATGAGATCTGCGAGATGTTAACAACCAACTGTTGAAGATTCTTAGTCAGATATCCCAAGAATATTAATAGTCGTTCAGATATATTTACCCATTTTCATCTTCCGAGTCCTAATCTTCTTCATTAATCTTCGCCGAATTATTCTAGTGCCTGTAGGTATGTTTGTTTGTCCACTGTTGTATTGTTTCGTAATTATGTTGTTTTGAAGCTTGATGAATTGAAATGATGCCTCTCTGGGTAAATCTTAACTGGCATAACGATGTTTACTCGCAAAAAAGACATGTTTCTAGTTGTAATTCTTATTTCACCAACTTACAAACTCAGTTTTGTATAATAGCGTACAACACAGTGAACACATAAAATGGTGATTTTCAAAAATAAGTTTGTAGAATATATTAAAACAAGTAAAGGCGAAATTTCTAAAAAAGTTACTACTGCATAAACATACTTGAAAATCTCACGTTCTTTCATGATACGCATTTTCGTCATTTTTATTTTAGCCGCTGCAAACAATCTACATTTTTCTTCAATTTCCTTTATTAATTTTTTTTTCATATCATTCAAAAAGAAAATTAATAAGTATTATGAAAAATGCAGACAGTGAGTACTGTAAACTACTTATTTATTCACATTATGCAGAAAAATGAACAATCATATACACAAAAGTGTCTATTTATGTTTTTCCCTTCACTTTCCAGTGGAACATAGGGCTTCAAGCTAGAGGATTGAAGTTTCGGTAGCAGTAGTATTTTACTTTTGCGGGATGGAGTTTCTAGCCTCATGCCTAACCTTCCCTCTTTACCAGCCTTACTACTGGCTTAGCGAGGTTTAGGAATGAGTCGGTCTGGGATCGAACCCCGGACCATGTGAATGGTCGGTGAGTACCCTAACCACTATGTAATAAATAATTTTTAAATGTCAGAAACATAAATATAAGTGCTCAAATAAATTCGTTATCTATCACTATTATTAGCGATTACCAATTAATTCTGCCTTCTCAAGCATTTACAACTAATTAGGTTGATTACTTCTGTCTCAGATGAATGACAGCTCACTTGGATATTTTGATGTATAATTTCTTGCGACTAACACGGTTAGATTTGTGTAGTACAATGTTCAGTGTTACTTTTGTTATTGAAAATGACTGATTCATTAATTGCTCAGTTTTTCATAAAGCATATAATTAAGTGACCTAAGCATTTAATAAGCGGTATAAATGTAATACTTTCTTGACACTCCTATTCATCAATGTCTGTCAGTCACATACTTGTTAAACTAAATAATACGTCATTATATTTCTCGTGTAGTCTATTTGATTTCGAACGAAAGAAGGAAGTTTGAGGAAAACGTTGACTATTGGAAAATTCATGTTGCCATTCAGTTACTACATTGCAAAATAATGTGACCATACTGACTTTGACAACTCAGAGGATGCTGCACTGAAGGGTTCCAGAATACTTTTACAGTGCTACACTCTTCTTGGTCTTTAGAAGATAAGTATTTATTGTTCTTTCAAAATAAAGTCTCCTTTGAAATGAATCAAGTCCTCAAAACCTCAGTATCTGAAATTTCAAGTTTGTTTTGATATGAGTTTTACATTATTAATGGTTCAACAGGTTGACACACTTTAAAGCATTCTTTGGTCAGAAATATCTTCACAACCTAAGAAATTTGAATTCCACTGCAAACTATCCATTCAAGATGTTAACAGATCAATCACAGTGTGTTTTAATCGTATTGACCAACTCTTTCAAACTGTTTAAAAATGTATAAAAGTCTAATGATTCACGTGGAATATATATTACAGTGTTAACTAATGAGTCATTAGGAAGTGACCAGTGTCATGTGTCTAGTCCATGGTCTTGATTATGACTGAATTAGCTGAATCAACTTTACAATATGGTCAGCAAGCTAAAAGACTGGTCATCTTCACGTACCCTAAAATGATCTTGTGTAGTAGGAGGAATCTACAAAATTTCCTAGACGTAAGTCTCATGCATACTGGAACTCATCAGTAAGGTGGATCTGTAACCTGACATATCTTGACATTAAACTATTTAACAATATCTATAGTGCATAGCAGTTCTACGGAACTTATTTTTGATGACGACATTCTATTTATTATTCAAATAATGTCCGAGTAGAACAATTAGATAATTTATTCTACTGAATAAATAAATTCATCTGCATTTTTTTTTACAAAAGTTATTTGAATAAACAATACTTTTTTACGTTCACTAATACTTCTCAGAAATTCGTGCTCTCATCTATGATGCGTAGTGTTAGAAACGCCACATATTTATTCTAATTATAAATAAAATACTTGAGGATGGTTCTTTGCAACTGATCCTAAACAATTAATATCAAACAGAATAAATCACGAATTTATATTATTCAGCTTTGCTGTTATAATTTGATCAATTGATGAAATGATTTATTTCAGCTTACTAGTTATGTCATCCATTAAATATCGTATACAGAACTTTAATTCATGATAAAGAAGTCCATGAAAATTTGTTTGATTTCACTTTAAACAAATTCAAATGCATGCATACTTGTCGAGTCTGACCACGGAGTGATATCAGTTAGAAAACCGCTGAAAGCCATCAAGGAGTACTGGACAGCTGTTTCATCCTAATTTGGGAATCCTTGGCAGTACACCGATATCAATCCATGGTCAAACAATAAAAACAAATCTACTCTTGAAAATTAATCTGATGCTCGCTAGTGACTAGCTACAGGAAGGAGTTTCCCGGAGTTGTAATAAGAAGTCCTGAACAATGGGGTCCATCCAGTCAGAAGTGAGGAAAGAGTTCCCACCGATGACGTTGGTTTGGTGGTGGCGCTAAAATCACGAATTGGCAGAAGCTAGAATTCATGGACTGGCCATCGAATCGGGTCCCAGTGGCTGATTGGAATACGAGCTTGCCTTTTGACGGGAAGGTTCTGAGTTCGAACCCCCACGGTGGGTGCGTACTACCGATGATTCCCAAACTAAGATGAAAGAGCTGTCCAGTACTCCCTGTTTGTTTTCAATGGTTCCCTAACTGATATCAATCCGTGGCCGAACTCGAAAAATAATTCTAATTGAATGCATATGTTTAAAATAAATTTTAAAAAAACATTAAAAGTAGATTGATTAAAAATAAATCTTCCAACCTCATCTTGAAGTTTTTCAATTTCTTTCATTTGTTTGTGTCCGCTGATTTGATCATGAAATTCATTTGTAAGCTTACGCATTTGATCACGGTAGATTTGTTCCAACTTTTCACGTTCCAAATGATCTGCTATTGCTATCCTTCTTAGCTCTTCACCTTCAGCTAATAGTTGTGCTCTTTGACGTTCTTTTTCTACTTCATGTTCATTGATTCTTGATGTCAGTATTGATAGATAATGTAGAAAAACATCACGATGGTAACAGGATTCGAAAGAAGAATACTCAGTAACTGTTAATCGATAATAACTAGGTTAAAATCTTGAAAAAAATTTCCCCTACCTGATATACTCAGAATAAAGTTATGTGATTTGATTTGTAAGTTCTATTATTACCCTTTGGAATAAAATATGGCTCTTTTCACTAAATAACATTTCATATTTTTTCTAAGCAAACTGTAGTCTCTTCGGTCAACTCGTGAGAATGGTTAAAAGCAATGTTCTCAGTAGTAGTTTATGAAACCTAGATAAAACCCTCACTATTTAAATAAGGTGTAAGCTAAGTACTGAACTGATTGGTAAGACCTGTGTATATAACATAATAAGTACGATAAAAATATTTTTAAACTATGAAGATTTTAATTTGCTCCAATTTGTACCTTTAATCTCTCGTAAATATTTTTTTATTAATTAGGGTGTATTGCTGAAAACTACCTCAGAGTAATTTATATAACACATCAGTTAAAGAATAGCACAAGTCTTTGGGAGTATTAATAACTCGAGTGTGTAAACTTTAACCAATTGATGGAAGTGATCCTATGTCCTGAAACGATAAAAATTAGAGCTCATGGGCCTTGTATCTGAAATCCAGTAGCTGAATGGCAACATACTTACCTCGTAACCTTAAGTTCTCGAACTATGTGCATAGTAGAGTTGTGCGTGCACCCCGTTGAAGGGTTCTAATTTAAACGAAACGACATATAAGTATTTCCTCATTTATGTGACTGCAGAACTTGGGCACTGTGGTAGTATGTAATTTTAAATATCTCACAGTGATGCAGTATTAACAACTGGATGATGTTTCGAACATCAGTTACTGCTCATAATCATATCACTTATAGTCCCAAGATTTCACAATTTGTCTTATTTTTGTTCCCCTCTCTATTGCCACATTCCATATCTCCGAAACAGGTCTTGTGCCATTCCGATTGCACGTGTGCGGTGATGAGTCAATAAACAATCAGTAAGGTGGGACAGAATGAGATTATTAAAAAGTAATATAGTTAGGTGGAAAGAGATGTTAATCACTGGAGCTTTGTTTGTCGATTCAACACCACAAACGTCCAATCGAACTGACGTAGCGCCTATACCGGAGATACAGAAAGTGGCAATATATATATATATATATATATATATATATATATATATCAGTCAATTTAAAGTATCAATTTTAGTCCCAAGGTTTCACAATTTAAGTCGAAGTTGAAAGCCAATTTACTTTGTATCACTCATAGGTAATATTGTGTTCTTGGAGCCTGATGGTTCAATAGTATTTTGTCTACTGCTTCAGTCTGTATTTCTCATTAACATTAAAAGTTGACTAGTATCCTAAATCCAGCTTTTCTTAGTAGAATATGCTAACCTAGATACTCATGAAGAGGAGATAGCTGTCACTTGGCAAAACCGTTCAACTTTGAGAAAGTAACTCCTCTAATTCTTACCCTTCTTTCATAATTATCTGGACACATCATTATATGTTGAAGTATCATCAAATAGGTGAGACATGTAAGATAAACACTAATGAAAAAAACACACGAAATCTTTACATCTGTGTTGTCGCAGCTAATTCAGGACTTCGTTCTTAGTAGGCTTTTTTTACTGACTATATGTGCAACATACTCTATGGTATTTAAGTATTGTATTGTTTCTGTCGCTGATCAGTCATTTCATCGGCGACTTCCATGTACTTTGTATATCAGGATTTCATCATGAGCTGACACTGGTTAGAGAACCATTGGAAAACCTGGGAGTACTGGACAGCTGTTTCGTCCTAGTTTGGGACTCTTCAGCAGTACGCACCCACCGGGATTCGAACCCAGGACCTTCCGGTTACAAGACGAGCTCGTATACCATTAAGCCACTGGGACCCGATCCAATGGTCCTTGAATTCTAACTTCTGCCAATTCACGACATAGCGCGATGGTTCAATGGTTCTCTAACTAATGTCAGCTCATGATGAAATCCTGAAATCAATCAAATCCCTACAAACCAACACTTGAATACTTTGTATATCATTATGATTTTCAACCTGACACATAGTCATTCTATGAATAATATCAGGTGTAATATAACCAGTAAACATGAAGTGATTTCACTACACACTTTTCATTCAACAGTTCATTTTCAAAATCAAACACTTCTCGTGTCAGTTTAGATTCTGTTTTATACAGATGTAGGTTATAGAACCACTGTAAATTAGGGAGTACTTTGTCCTACTTTAGACTTTTCAGTAATACACACCCATCCATGCACCAGAGACTGGACCCAGGAGCCTAAGGTAACGACTGAGGTATTTTTTATTCAGTTTCTGACAAAGGTATTCAGTGGTGCAGAAATCTTGAGTTCTATCATCTCGCAATCACTTAAAACTTCTTGAAATTATATTTTAAAAGAAATACAGACACTTACTGTGCTTTTAATTCTTGAGCTATTTGTATATTTTTCTCACGCCTTTTTTCAGCTTCTTCTTGTTCTTTCTTTATAGCTGGGTATATTTAATTAAAACAAAATAGTTGAAGATGGAACAACATTGTCACATCGATCTTATTCAATGTAAACATAATAAAACAAAGAACCTTATTCACTGAAGTTTGATATCCGCTTAAGTCTTCTAAAGAAAAAAAGGACATTAGTACAAAGTTACACTTTTCTAATAACACAAAACTCTCAATAATTATGCTGATCACTTTCTTTGAATTTCAATATTTACCATTGACTGTTATACATTTAAAACGGGTAGTAAATTCAAAATCTAGCATAGTGTAAGTTTAAGTCTACCTTTTATCATACCTAAAGAGGAAAATGAAACTAAATACGAACTTATATGTGTAAAACTTGGGCACTGTGGTAGTAAGTAATTCCATATTAGTTTGTTTATTAAATGTATCACACAGTGAAACAGTATTGTATACTGGATGACGTTTCGAACACAATTTATTGTTCATAATCATATCAATTTTTGTCACACGACTTCGAGATTTGATTTTTATAGTTTTCTCTGTCTTCTCCTATTTGTTGTATGGGCAGTAGAATTTTCCATATATCTGGGACAGGTGTTGAATCATTCCTATTACATGTATTTGCAGTTGATTCGATAAACAAAGCTTCTGTTATCAATCTCTCCCTATACCCTGTGACATTAGATTTTAAAACTGTCATCCTATCCCATCCTATTGTATGGTTGTGTGTAACTGCATGTAGTGCTATAGCTGAACTATTCTCTAGATTTCTTATCTTATTCGGGTCAACCAATCTAGATTTAGCTAGGTTTTTATGTTCGGCTAGTCTGACTGCCCCTGTTCTACTAGTTTGACCTATGTATTTGACCTCACAATCATTGCAGGGTATTAGATAAACTAAATTGTTTTGTTTTAATGGCTCTACAGGATCCTTTAACCGACAAAGCTTGTTTCTAATTGAGTTTGTGGGTTTGAATGCCACTTTTATTCCTGCCTTGTTAAGAATTCTGCGTAAGGCTTCCGAGGTTCCTTCTTTGTATGGAATTATTATTGATGATTTACATTCCTTATTGTTGGTGTCGTTATTAATATTATTATTATCATCACTATTATTATTACCATTATTATTATTATCATTATTATTGTTATCATTATTATTATTATCACTATCTCTGTTATGATTATTTATTTTATTTTTACATTTACTTACATATTTCTTGACTAATTTATCCGGGTAATTATTAAGTTTCAAGGCTTCTTTTATGTGTATCACTTCCTTAGATTTTCCTTGGTACTACTTAGTTTTTGTGCTCTGTCATTTAAACATTTCACTAATCCTATTTTTACTGACATAGGATGGGATGATCGGAAATCCAAATATCTGTTTGAATGTGTGGGTTTTCTGTAAACACTAGTGTTTAGCTTCCCATCTTTTTTCCTTTTTACGTTGCAATCTAACATTGGAAGTTCCCCTTCCTGACTTTCCAATTCATAAGTGAATTGAATTGCCTCTACCTTCGAGTTGATGTGCTCGAAAAATCTATCTATATCTTGTGTTCTAAGTACAGTGAATGTGTCATCTACATACCTCCACCATACTTTTGGGGTGGGGGTGAACGTTTCAATCGCTATCTTTTCCCACCTATCCATGAATATATCTGCTACCACCGGGGATATTGGTGATCCCATGGCAACTCCCTCAGTTTGTTTGTATATTTTCCCTTGGAATTTAAATACTGTAGAAGTCAGGCAAAGCTGCACTCCCAGCATTATGTCCTCAATTGGCACTTTTGTCCTAAGTTCGAGTTCTTGGTCAGAAATGAGTTCGTTTCTGACCGCCTCTATAGCCATATTTATTGGTATACGTGTATATAAACTGACAATGTCAAAACTGACCATTTTCTCTTCATTATCTAATTTTAAATTATCTAATCTGTGTAATAGAGGTTTTTGTATTTCCCAATGAATGAAAAACAAAACGAGATTGTTTTTACTGACGTTTCGCTATTTAATGCTAATAGCTTTCTCAAAGTATTATTAAACCGGAATTTACAAAATCTCAGCATATATACAACAAAGAGTTAGGGGGTGAGAAAAATATAGACTTAGTTTTTCATTCATTGGGAAATACAAAAACCTCTATTATAATGAATATCGTATACCCAATGCCCAAATTTTTTCAAACCGTTAAAAGTGAACCTGGTTTGGACATATATATCTAATCTGTGTTTCAGTTCATAAGAATTAGTTAGTCTAGATTTCGAGTGGATTTTTAGGGGATTTAATACCATGGCTAAATATTTAGATAATTCATAGGTAGGTGAATTTCTAAAATCAACTATAGACCTAATAAGGTATACTGACTTATGAATTTTAACAACACTATACATCCTACTGGGGTTATTAGTTTTTGGCATTAAATTAAACCACTTAGACTCAGCTAGAAACGGCTTCATTCGGCGTATAAGGTCCGCTGTGGATTTTTTAACTTTATTCATAACTGTGTCTATTGATTTATTAATTTCCTCATATGGTCCTTTTTGTATATGAGTACTTACCCTGTCCAAATAGTCTGATTTGTCTAATACTACTGTTGCGTTTCCTTTGTCTGACTTTGTGATTACGATGTCCTTGTTGTTCTTAAGGTGTTTAGGGCTTCTATCTCTGGTTTTGTTAGGTTAGGCTTTCCATATTTTTGTCGTTTTAATGTAAGTGCACATTGTGCACGTACTTCTTCAGCTGTTGTTTTGTCTATCCCACTTAGTGCTATTTCTGTTTTAGGGATGACATCCTCAGGTTTCAGCTTGTCCACCACTACACTGAAGTTTAGTCCATTTTCTAATACACTTATTTCCATAGGACTTAATATATTTGATGAGAGATTGATAATCCACTTTGATTTATCGATCGCCGTTGATTTTGGATTGTTGACTTCATTATTCTGAGATGAAGATTTCTCCTCTAATAATTTGTTGAACTTTTTGATTTGACTTTTTTTGACTTTTTGAAAGTGGCTGATTTTGCATTGTTGGAGGATTGTGTTATAAGATCATAATCTACATTGGTAACTATTCCCTTTAGCTTTTGTTTTAATTGCTCAATTTCACATCTGATATGTTTCAATTTTTTAACGATTCTGTGGATCTCTTCTTTCAAGCATAATTTTTGTAGACTTTCTATTCTGTTTCTTACTCTGTCCGTTGGAACTGGAGCTCGTAGACGTAGATATTTAGGAATGATTTCATTTTTTAGGCATCGAATGTTAAAAAAATGTCATCCAGTATACAATACTGTTTCACTGTGTGATACATTTAATAAACAAACTAATGTGGAATTAAATACGAAATTTTAAATTTACAGGTAAGTGAATATACTAACTGAAGCACCTCATTAAATTGCACCAGGCATAAGTCATTTACTTGTAAATGTTAATATACTTCCAGTTTTATCTTGTCAATAAAAGTTGTTGAGTTGAAACTGTTCTATTATATGACTAAATAGTCTACATGGCTATAAACTATAAAACCAATCAACACCTATCTCTTTTTCTTATTACTGTCAGTTTCAGAACCAAGAAAAATGCATTTATATTTTTAAAAAAACGTAAATGTTTATTGATGTACGTCGGTGGCACAGAAGTAGAATGCTCGCCAACCACGCCTCATGTGGTTCGGGGTTCGGTCCCCTACGCACTCCTCTACCTCGCTAAGCCAGTTGTAAGACTGGTAAAGAGGGAAGGCTGGGCGTGAGGCTAGAAACTCCGTCCTGTAAAAGTAAAATACTACTGCTACCGAAACTTCAAGCCTCTATCTTGAAGCCCTATGTTCCATTGGGAACTTAAGTGTCTCTTGGCAATTAAAGCATGTACCAGGTTTGACCACGGACTGATATCAGTTAGAGAACCACTGAAAACCAAGCAATACTGTACAACTGTTTTTTCCTAGTTTAAGACCCATCGCGGTTTGAACCCAGGACCTTCTGGTTACAAGGCAAATTCGTAGATCATTCAGTCACTAAGACCCAATTCAATGGCCAAAACATGATTCCTAACTTCTACCGATTGGTGATTTTAGCGCAACTGCTAGCAAGTGTCATCAGGGAGTATTTGTCCTCACTCTCAGCCGGGTGGTCACCATTGGTTACAACTCCTTACTAGAACTCCAGGCAACTTCGCCCTGTATCCAGTTACTAGCAGGAGTCAGTTCAATTTTCCAGAACAAATACCTACCAACCAACTCTGGAAAAAAAGTGTACACTAAAAAAAAGGAGACTACAATAATTGCTTCTGAATAATCATAGTAAGGTATATTCGAAGAATGATTCAGGTAATATTATGTATAAAATGTATGTTTCTATCTAAAGAAATTAAATATATTACCTTTAGTAATAATAAGATAACACACAATGTAATAAATGTTTCATTGTCGTTACTTTGGTGGAATATAATGCATTAGATATGGTCAAGTCATCGCTGAGACCAAAAAAAATACCTGATGTTAACAAGTTGGCTTAATTCTTAAGTTTATTTTCAAGAGTCATTATACAGAAGGTCAAATCATACACTCAATAAGACTGTAATATAGTCACTGTATCAATTATTTATTTATTTACCTGCTTCTATACTCTTCTTCATATTTTCTACATAAACCTTTTCTTTGTTTGCATCTAATTTACTTTTTAAGTGTTTAAATTCCAATTGCATATCGCGCTCTTTCAAAGTTTCTGTTAGATTTAAACCAGACTAAGAATAAAATAGGCACCAGTTAAAGAAATTTAAAAAAAAAATTTTTATTATTAGTAAATTACATTTATCATATGTTCATCAAATAAACTTAACGGAAGCAGATCTCAAGTAAACTTTTAATATATGAGCATTAAAACAAAACATTTATACATAAATGCTTAAAAAAAACCCATGATCATGTATTTAGTATAACTCCGAAAGTACAGTTTATATTGATTCTGAATGAGTATAACAATACCGAGATGCAACAGATAACTCTACTGAATGCCAAATACGACTATTCTTCTTTAGATACCTTCTGCTGAACTGAAACGCACAAGTATTAGAAGACAGTACTAGCCTGCTCAAATGAGAACAGAATTGATGGACAAAAATACATCATTTTTATACAACACCAATACGCATAAAATCAGGCACTTCTCAGTGGTTAAACAGACTGATTTGATGGGTTGTATTATGTGGAGCAGCCAGATATGTATACATAGAATCAAAGATTGTCCAAAAAAATTTATCATGTCTCAAACTGCAACATAAAATCTTTCACCGAAACAGACAGTGTCGATTAGATTGTCGATTCAGGTTTTAACCCCATTGAATTCAGTTTATAAACCTTTGGATGAAATACTGGCATCTTAAGTAAAGGTTTATTATTTACAATTAGACTTGTGCATTAATATTATAACTTCATATTAGATAAGTTTATTTAATGTAGTGACACAGTATTGATAACTGCATTAATTGTATGTTGTGTCAAATAAATTGATCTAATATGAAGTTTTGAAACGAAATATCACTAGGGGGAAACGAGATCAACATGCATAGAATTCTGATTTAAAGTACCAGAGTAAGGCTATAAAACAACAAACAAACATTCAGTTTGGTTTGTAAGGGTTAGTTATGTTTTTACGAGTTGATCACAGATTGATATCATTTAGAGAACCATTGAAAACAAACAGGGAGTACTGGACAGTTGCTGTTTTATCCTAGTTTGGGAATCATCGGCAGTACGCACCCACTGGAATTCAAACTCAGGACTTTCCAGTTACAAAGCAGGCTGGTATACCATTCAGTCATTGAATCGGGTCCCAGTGGCTAAATGGTATACGAGCCTGCTTTGTAACTGGAAAGTCCTGAGTTTGAATTCCAGTGGGTGCGTACTGCCGATGATTCCCAAACTAGGATGAAACAGCAGCTGTCCATTACTCCCTGTTTGTTTTCAATGGTTCTCTAAATGATATCAATCTGTGATCAACTCGTAAAAACATCCAGTGCTAAATTTCATCGTACTTTAGTGTTGATTTTGAAAAGAAGACATAATGGTTGGTTGTCAACTGTTTCATAATGATTTGAAATGCAAATTCAGTTCAAATGGGGATTTGTAATTGAGGAGGTTAAAAAATGAGATTTGAATCTACAGACTAATACTGAATGACAAATATTCTAAGCATTAGTATCGTCCGATGGGCATCATTTCGTTTAAAAGCTTTTTAAAAATTTCATATCTTACTTAGAATATATTCATAGTATGTTGGTAATAAATTTCTCTATGACATACAGGATTTCATCATGAGTTGACACTGGTTAGAGAACCACTGGAAAACCTGGGAGTACTGGACAGCTGTTTCGTCCTAGTTTGGGACTCTTCAGCATTACGCACCCACCACAGGCGTTCGAACCCAGGACCTTCTGGTTACAAGGCAAGCTCGTATACCATTAAGCCACTGGGAAACAATCTAGTGGCCCATGAATTCTAACTTCTGCCAATTCACTACATAGCGTAACCGCTAGCCAATGTCTTCGGCGAGTAGTTGTTGTCACACCCGACCTGCTGCACCCTACTGGTCACAACTTCCCACTGGAACCCCAGGTAACTACCTACCTGAATAGGACCGGTCGCCAGTGAGCATCTCACTAATATTCAAGTATTGCTTTGTAGGGATTTGGTTGATTGCGCTATATATTCATAATATGTTGGTGATAAATTTCTCGATAACATATTTCACTTTAAAAAAGACCTTACGTGGTAGGATAGTAGTTGTTGTATTTCGTTTTAAATATGAAAATTCAAAAAAGTTTCTATTCTATTTACATGTAGGTTTCGAACACGATCCGTTTCATAATATAATTGTAACTTTGCTTTCTCTATGGCTTTCTTTCTTTGTTCAGCTTGGAATTTCTCTTCTTCACGATCAATAACCAATTTAGCCTTTTCTTCTTCAGCTATTCGGTTGGCACGATCTTCTAATTTCTTTTGTCTTGCACCCTTTTTTTGAAAAAACAAAAAGGAAAAAGTGAAATTATGAACGAATATTCGCAGTATGAAGTTGCTGAGAAAGAGTAGCGATATCCGAGATCGTATACTTATAAATCCGATGTAAACCCGAAGAATAATATTTCTTGTAACATATTGTTATTGATTTATTATTATTTAGCTTTTAATGATGCACATCAATCGTTCATCTTCACTTGTGAAGAAGAACATGATGGTAGACTACACTTCCTTGATGTCCAGTTGGGCAGAAGAGAGGATGTCCATAGAAAACCTACATCTGCAGGACAATATACACATTTCCTCAGTCTTGTACCAGTCCGATACAAAATCAGTTTGGTCAAATGCCTCACAAACAGAGCCAAACGGATCTGTACAGATGACTCCCTTCAAAATAAGTTAGGACACATCCAAAATAAGCTGGTCCGAATGGCTTATCTGGGCAGATTTATAAGGAGACCCATGAACACCAGGCACAATAAAGAGAAACTGACAACAGTTAAAAACAAACTACTGCCCATAAAATTACAATTTAATGGGGACATGGCTAGTGAAGTCTTACACCTGCGATTGTCGAGAGCAATCAAAACGAACTTATGCTGCCGCCACCCTCTGTTTGTCATTTTCCAGCTGTTGACCAATCATGATTGCTCAAGTGAAAGACAAGATACCCAGCTGGGACACTTCTATGTGTATCTACAAATTTAGTGGCTCCTGTGGAGAGAGCTATATAGGGCGAACAACTAGACAGGTTAACAAACGCATTAATGGGCATCTTCCTTCATGGTACAGAAAAGGTCAAATAAAATATATGCGAAGTTCTATTTTGGTTGATAGCGGTCACCAATTGGACAAAAATAGTGCCTTCAAAGTTATCTATCGCATTCCATAGAGCCTTTCGAACGGAATTCGAACCCGCCTTTTACACATAGCCGAAGCTATGGGAATCGATTAAAGCGTACAATCCTAGTCTTTGCATACAAAAGAAGTTTGTTCTACCTTTGTGTCTCCCTTGGTCTAGGTGAATTCTATTCAAAACCCTCCCATCCTTTCTTATTTTTCATCTCCTTCTCATTTTTATGATTTTCATTCAAACTCTATCTGTCCAAATCACCTTTAGTATTACGTAACTTTTAAGATTTGATCGAATTTATTTATTGAATTGCCTACATATACACATATTACCACCTTTGTAATTCTTATCGCCATCTGCATAAATCTTACTACCAATATTTTGTTATCATTGTAATCATCGTTATTAATGACGTTCAAAACATTTACCATATTATTATTATTTGATCCACAAAGTCATTGGTTAATATTCTTATATGAAAATCTACGTAGATTGGAAGATCTAATTGAAAACAAAAATATTATTTGCTTACATGTCCTGTTCTAATACTGAGAGTTAGTCAATTAATCGTGTAAAAGAATCTTTTTTGTATCAAATGATGTTGAATTACTTTACTGAATGAAAAAAAACACAGTAGTATACAGAGATACATTCAACTGAAAGGCCTCAAGCAAAACAAAAGGCATTCACATTTATCCTTCAGTAATGCTGTAAATTAATGGCGTTCGCTATGAACAAAAGGTATGTTTATCAGTTGCTGTTTCATCAGGGATAAGACAGCTACTAAAGGTTGATTGATGTGATATCCACTTGATTCCTCTGATATTCTTTGTATTTATAGTTTATTCATGTTCTAATTACTTCACTGATTAGCTGTGAATGTCTAAGCGATACAATTCAAAAAACTTTATTGGATGAAAATGTCTTATCTTCATTAAATTTTAGTCAAATCGTAGGCTAGCAACAAAATAAAACTCATTTTAGCCGTTCTATTGTAGTTTTTATCCTCAAGTAATTCAAAAATACACTGAAATGAAATAACACTAGGAATTAAGGGTGTGTGGAGATTTAAAGCTGGTTGACTAATTGACTGTTTTACTTTAAGTAATTATGTCCACTTTTTAACAAGTTTCTACAGCTGGGTACCAATCAGTCGGAAAAGAAACCTAATTAAATCCCTTGACACTCGCGTCAGACGCATCTGCAGCTCCGACACCATGGAAGAAGAACTAAACTTCCTGAGGGAAATCTTCATACAAAATGGCTACCCGCCAAGATTCGTAGACAAAAACATCAAACAGAATAACCAAAAGCAAGAGACACCATCCATGCCTAAAAAGATACTTGATGTGAACCTAGACTTCAAAGGAGACCTACTTAGTGACGTCCTCAGAAGGAGAATTTCCACCTCTTTAGGAAGAACTTTCCCTGCGGCAACATTAAGAATAGTGTTCTTCAGTCGCCCGCTGATCTGCAGAAACCCAAAGGACAAGATTCCGCACATGACCACTTCTATGTGTATATATCAGTTCACCTGTTGCTGTGGAGCCAGGTACATCGGCCGTTCAACGCGCATCCTGTCAAAAAGGGTCAAGGAACACTATCCAGCGTGGCTACAGAAAGGGAATAATGGCCATATAAGGAGTGCAATAATCGAACATCTCGTCAACACTGGTCATTCCATCTCAACAAACGCCTCCTTCAAAGTAATCTACAAAGTGAAGAACAACCTTCCAAAGACAGTACGATTCCGTTTTCTTTGCATCACAGAAGCCCTAGCCATTCAGTTGGTGGAACCAGAACTATTCATACAAAAGAAAATTATTCAAACACTTCTACTCGCATGGTAGCAACTCCGTTGATTTGACCTAACTTTTGTTTGTTTGATTTGACCTTACTTCTGTTTGTATGCTTATTTTTCCAACTTAAAACCCTTGTGTAATTCTGTATATTATTTTGTTTCCATGTACACCCTGAGCACAACTCATTCATCAAACTATTCATGCCATTACGTAAATCTTATTTAACAATCATTTATGACAACTCATCACTTTTGTTGCTATCCTCTTATCAGCATCCAATTCATCTGAACTTACTAATTGTATTTTCGTTTTACAAATTTAATGTATACACACACACACAAAATAACCATATATATTTGGGATTGTACAGCTATGAAAATGAATTCGCCGAAAAGAGACTCTTCGCTGAACTACTTGTCTTTTGTCTTCTAATTAGAAGTCAAGCATAAATAAACTTTAAACTAAAGCAATATCACAACAATGACTCAGAACACTATAATTAACTTTCTAAATATTCAACATTTAGTCGAATTTACCGATTTAACATAAATAAAATATTTTCCCCTTTTAATTTCACATCAGAAGTTGATATGAGATATTGACTGATATTTTTGATTGAACACTACTCACTAATTAGTGTAATGTGTAGACTGAATTCTATCAGTTAAACTTGCAATGTGGCCACCGTGTTAGGTGGCTAGCCATTACGGTGCACTGTGAATTGTTGGTGTTAGATGGTTGGAGGCAATCGACCACAGGAAGCCTTGGACCTAGGCTTCGTACTAGTTGGCACTCACCAGTCAGCAAGGCGTATCTGCAACCTCGAAGGAACTCATGTCCCTTCTGAGATTCGAACCCGCGTCACCCAATTCTGTAGTCAGAGATGTTACCACTGAGCTACTTGGGCTCGTGATTGACCTCCTGTAGGACTGTATTGGATACTTTTGATTGGACACTAGTTAGTAACTAGTGTAATGTGTCCAGTCCTGTCTTTGGGTAACGCAGGTTTTAATCTCAGAATAGACATGAGTTCCTTCGAGGTTGCAGATACGCCTTACTGACTGGTGAGTGCCAACTAGCACGAAACCTAGGTCCAAGGCTTCCTGTGGTCGATTGCCTCCAACCATCTAATACTGACTGATAGAATTCCAGTCTTTTATTCATCATGCATTACCACGGAGAATGTGATCATGCGACTTATTGGTTGTTACATTAAAAACCTTTTAACATGACAATGCTATGTTTGATAATTTGGTTTATTCAAGCCTCGAAAATATAAAGATATACAAAGCTTCATTTTTGCATACCAGTGAATTTTCTGTTCCATATATCTTAATGCAATTGACCAAAGTGAAGTTTAGCACTAAGCTTTGGGAATCAGTAGGTAGAATGCATTTGACTTAGATTCTGTGCTGTATGGTACTCATCAGTTAGGCCCATCTGCGAATTTATTTCAGGAGAGATTTTCAACAGCGTGACTTCATCTATAAGTTGAAGACTACATTACTAATCCTCTATAAAGCCAGATTACATGTGAATCAGTTGCTGGAGATAAAATTCCGTAGAAATAAGTTGACAAATTAGCATCTCTTATATGCATTATCTGTATGTAAAATCTACTTTGGTTCAAAATCTTACCAAAAATGTATTTGTCCAGTTCTTAACCATTTCTTTAGATTGTGCTTTGATCTTTTCTATTTGCACTTTTTTCTCTTCTATTTTAGCTGCCTCTATTGAATCCATGTCCAGATGGCTCTTTAAACGTTCCCATTCTGGTTGCCTGATTAACTTAACTCGTCTGATATCCATGCATGCGTTGTTATTAGGATTTTCAAATGAAAACTCTTTATAATCTACAGTTTAATAAACAAAGAAAAATTCAGGAAGGAAATTAGATAAGAAGATGGGTTAGTAAGAAACTTCACACTCAAGTGAATCAGTTTAGGTTACTATGGTTCCCAATACTAAATGAAAATGAAGCCAGCAGTTAAATTAAGGCACAACAAAATTAGAAATGTGATGAGAGTGAATAACTAAACTAAGATGAATGAACACTGAAAACCTATCAGACAAATAACAGTACATGGGAGAATATTTGATAGATTTTCCTTCTAAACTCTCACTTCCTTCTGATTATTTTCTGGTAATACACTTGGAAATGGGGGATATTGGGACAGGTAATCGTTCTGCAGTTAAAGTTTGGTGAATAGTTAGAGTCTCACCACTTAGAAGTGAGTACAATAACTACAGAATCTATCATTATATGTATCATGAATCCATTTTCAATATGGTTATTAACACTGTCGTTTCCATCAGTACTCATGTCGAGCTGTATTGCTTGTAAAAAGAATACTGATCTTAAATGGTATGGTTCACGAATATCTTGTATTTATTTCATCAGCCATATTAATCCCGTCTTACTCTAGCTTCCCAACAGATATAGTTCTCACTTTGTTCACAGTTGTCCTATTTATTGAACGATTAACTGTCTCGTAATGTAAATTATTATTTTTAACACTGACCTCATTTGCAACTGTCCACAATAATGCTCGTCTCACCACTGAAGCCGAAGATATATTGTCATCAATAATTCTTAGCTTAATTTTTATGGCCATTGTTTGACACTCTGTCAGTATGTACAAAAAGTTCTGTGATTCATAAGGCTTATGAATCTCAGCGGCTCACACAATTTGATATGATGAAGGTTAACACATCAAAAGAGTCAGTTCATGCTCAAAATATTTGATTTATGTAATTTAATTAATTCTTTTGTTTGATATTCTTTTGATATATTGGACGTGAAAGTTATCTTAGGAAGCTACTCATTATTATTTTACGGCACTTTTCCTTCATTCCAATGGGTTTTGAAAGAGTGTAAAAGATTATCATCTGAAAATACTCTAGACATATATAAGTAAGTATATAATTTTCAGAGAGATCTTCATTTAGACAAAACTCCGAGAAGCATCCCAAAAAGTTCATATGTGGCTGATCTCAAACAATTGTTCCATTGGCTCTCTGGTCACGCAACATCAATTCTATCTCAGTTTACTTTAAACTTCGGGTCATAATAAAAGACGAGTAAACCAAATGGATTTTATGCCCACGAAGTATTCCGTTGATCAGATATTCAACTTTTGACATGCTATGAAGCGCAGGCATACTTATGAGAATCCAGTATTACTGGTATGTGACTTTGAAAAGAATGTCGAAGGAATAAAGTGTGTTGGTCAGGGCATTAAACTCTAACTCATACAACCACGTAAGAGTTTATGGAGAGTTATCTGAAGTAACAACAATCAGTGTCTTGCTCCAGGAATGTTAGATGTCATCGCACTCATTTGTATTCGCTATAAATGTATCGATAAGTGTCAGTCTGTTTGACTCCTACCTTTCGAGAATTAGCCTGCTACCAGACAAACGCCCCATATTTTCGGAGGACACAAGTGACATAATTCCTTGGACGATAAAACCGACAAAATAAAGTATTCCGAATGAATCTCGCAAACATCTGGGTATTTCGTAGCATGTGTTTTGCCTGTATAACTTTGTATAAGTTATTGCTATAGGAACAGTGTGTACCGAATCTTATTTTAGGGGAAAGGATGAAATTAGAGATTGTTTTGACTAGTTTACCAATTTCAGAAGTAGTATCGACCCCAAGTTATTGGTTCTTCACAAAATCTTAATTCGCGATTTAAAAGCCTGTTGGCATCCGCCAGTTTACAACATCGTTGGTTAAAGTACTATACCCGGTTACTCGTCAATAAAGTGTGTACTACGCAAAGACTTGCTCCATTCCGCTTTATGTTTGTGAAGCATGGCCATTGAAAGTATAAGATATGAAAACATACACATTTACAGTTGTGCTTTCATTCATTAGATTCAGTGGACAAATAAGTAGTACTGATGTAGTGCTATGTGTGTCAATCAATAGGAATGTGAAGTTGTATTGAGTGAAGCTTCTAAGATAGGAAGAGTCGGAGGTGGGTTGGTCGAAGCTTGTCATCAATTCACTGTCTAAACTGAGAAGAAAAGTTAAGACTGCCTGATTCATGTCTTTGGAATTAAGAGTCTTAATGGTTACAGACCGTTAATGAAATGACTCAAAGTTGTTCGCAAGATCACGCATGCAACTACCGCCTGACAACTTTCATGTTTATTAACTGTGGCAACTCAACATTTCACTCCCATTTTGACTACAAATTTCTGTACTAACCTTTCAATCAGCCTACTAAACCAATTAATGATATATACATTGTTCAAAAGTCATCTCTGCAATCAAAAAGTCGCTTTACGATTTACTTGAGGATTTCACTGTAATTTTCCTTCAATTATACAGTCTGGGCATTCCGCTCATTCAAAAACTGTCGCGTACTTTTTGAAACAAATATTTGTACCGATTAGTGTCATATACTGAAATGACTCCGTTACCGTTAAAAGAGTTATCCTGTGAATGTGTGTACGCATTTTACTTAGAGTGTGGGCATTCATCAGAATACACAAATGTCTAACTGATAAATCGCCATGCACAGCAAAATATGTAACTATGAATGGACACGTATTCATTATTCAACATGGTTAAAACATAGTCTAGGCAATGAATAAAAATTGATCAGATAAAACCGCAAAATATCCTACTTATTCTTGTTAGTTAAGTAGAAGATGCAGACAACTTTTCTGTTAATACAATCAAAGTAATTCCTAATACTCTAGCTGAAGACCTAAATATTCTGATTACATTTCCTTCCACTTCGGTTTTCAATGAAGTGGGTTGCTCATTTTACTGCCCTGTTAAGGCATTTTTTGTACAAGTGAAAGATGGGTTATAATGTTATCATGAATGCCAGAAACATCATTTCCGGTTATGTGAACATAACCGTCCCATACAATCACTTTGACAAGCAGCATATGTAACGTATTTGGCATCTGAACAGTGCGGTGATTTCATTTTTCTGCCCTTTCCTAAAATTTAGAGCAGACTTAATTATTCTAACTGATAGACGAAGTGCATTTCACAAGAGCCCTCCAGAATAATGGCCTACTGACCGGGCTAATTATTAACTAGATTAAAACTTTAGACTGAACACACTCTTCTGGAACCCAAAATGATTCTGTTTGTATAAACGGCCATCGTGAAATAGTAGCTGCTTCATTGTACAAGTGGAGTTTCTCTATATTGGAATGGAGGTAATATTCAGAATTTCACTCTACTGAAACTTAAAATCTGGCAGGTTTCAAATGTAATGCTGTCGATGTAATCTCTATCAGGTTTGTTATAACGCTGGTAAACATGCTAAATTACACAAAATTACCCGCCAAAATAAAGATTTTATGTAAAATTATCATGGAATTGAGTATGGCTCGAAGAGAATCCGGATTTGCTTTTAGCGTTAGCACAACTCACAATCCAAACTATAACTCGAGCCATGACTTCTATAATGAGTTATCTGTGGTGTAACTGCGCCATTTATCACCGTAACTGTAGGACTGGTCCCATACTCAATCAAACACAAAGTCGATTCTAATCCAAAATATACTTGGAATTCTAAATCTCAGTATGAATCAAAATGCTATGTATGTTTTGTCTCGATTCTAATTCAATTTCATCTCGACAGAGATAACAGCATTACTTAAGTAAATGCTATGGTATTTGTATGTAGACAAAATATTCATGTCCACAGGTACTTCAGAATTAGATTGGAATTAGTGTAAAATTGAGTATAAATATAAATCTGGTTTGCAGCTGAGCGAAACTGTATAATAATGAAAGTATGTTGTTTTGCAGTAAACCCCATGACCTGTAGCTGAAGAATATATGCACATGTAATGTAATTAACACACTTTATAAAGTCGAGAGAAAAACGGGAAATTTACACACAAGCAAGACATCCTTAAGATCACATACAAGATTTTCGTTGCAAACACCGGTGTTAAAGGAAAACAGTTGGCCTTTATCGTTTAATACATTGTGGTGCAACTAAAAACCACATTCACTGAATAGCCAAAGTATATGAAGCATTACAGGAAAATACAAAACTAAAACTGAACTATGACTCCGAAATAATCACTACTCACAGTTAAAAGTGTTCTTATAAATACTAATGATATGACACTTGAAGATATATCTCAGTCACTTAAGTGACTTTGGAGGTGACAAAATTTTACGGGCTTTCAGTAAAATTCGGGCGAAGTGCATTGGCTTAAGTCCTTTGCATAACTCCGTTATAATTTCCATATTGCACACCTCAAAATTGTCGTGACTTAAAGAGTACTACAGTTTACAGTGAGCCACAGTTGACCGATATCAAGGATACAAACAAATTGTATTAACTTATGCAAACTGTGTTTACTATCGTTATTCCATTCTCCTCCACTGTATATATAGATATATCTTGTTTCAGTGAAAACTTTTAAACCTGCATACTCCATGTGTACATTGTTTTCAGATTGATAATGCCTGTCAACTGTCATGTGCATTAAAAGACAGTATTTTATTATAAGATTCTTTTTATTGTTATATTACGGAATTGGCTTCAAGCTTTATTTATTTTCCCAAGTATCCGTAATCCCTCCAACGAATACTTGGGTTTTTTTAATGCGAAGTCAATATCCCTATATCTCCTAAGGTGTACCTTATTATATATATTATTATATGTATTATTATTGTATATATTATTATTAATATTAAATGGTGAGTCTACTTTTGCATTCATCTGCCTTCATTATAATATGCGCACTTATCAATATACGTATTGCAAGACTTCCCTTCTTCCAGTGTACCTATTTTCCTATCTAATAGTCGTACATTATTTGCAGATGACTAAGCAGTTCCTTTTAGTCCAGTTACCTGTCCTGAATAAGATGTTGGTGGTTAGCGAGGTGGCGGTGGCTGGTGAATACTTGCTCCTGTCTCGGTCGTATTCATCTGCTGATGCCATTGCACACGCAGAGGTAGTTCAGGGTTCAAGTCCGACGGCCTACAAGTACACCCTTATGGGACGCTTCAGTAACGTCACGTCTTTTATAATGTTCTTTTTCAGATGATTTTGACCAGGCATTTGCATTGAAGACAGCAATTGAAGGTTTGCAAAGAACAACGGGTGACTCGTCATCTGAAAACACGGAGCCTGCAAGCCAATGCAGGGTAAACCGGTAAGCTGTTATTCTTGACTCATCTTCCTAGTGTTTCAAGGCCGCCGAGAAAACTTTTGGAGAATGCTGCTCCGTTGAACCACCCTTCTCGGTTGTTGGCTGACCCAGATTTTCAGTTGGAGACACCTCCTTTCTGAAAGCCACCCATTGCGGACAAAAATGAAAGGTATATTAAAGTTAACTTGAAAATTTCATTTCAGCTTGTCGTCTGTCCCTTCCACATCAAATGCCCACATTCCCTTTCCCATGAATATGTAAGTTCAATTTAATTTAAAAATGTTACTTGCAGATGCCTAAGCACTAACGAGACAGGTACTTGTACATCTGGTTGTTGGAAAGAGATAAGGGCTTTACGTTCAAGCATAAACTCCTTCCAGGCACGAACGGAGTCACGTCTCGCTGAGCTTGAGGCTAAACTGTCGCTAGTCAACGTTGTCAACAGCATTGACAGTAATATCTCGTGTGTCAATTCAGTTCAAATTTTAAAAAGTTCTGGCAGATAGCAGTTAGACAGCGACGCCGTCATGTCATCGTTTGAGGCAAAATTGTCCCAAGACGAATATCGTCAGGATGTGTCGGCGGATCTTTCTAGTTTGATTGACGGGGACGTGCAAACCTCCGTTGGTCGCATAATGAATGTCTTGCTGGAGCCGAACTACAGCTCACATTTTTCATGGGCTGGCATCAAGGAAAAAAGAAGTTCAAGGACACGAAGACGAGTAACCTTGTGATACGTAGGTGAAATTTTTTTCATTGTTGTCTCTCTAGGAACTATTAGCAGTTTACATAAACTAGGTAATGCTGACCGACGTACCACAGTGAAGGCTATCACAGCATCAATTCAACGTTGGTTCCATAACAGTCGGGACAGACTGAAGTCGAGGATTAGAAGGCGACGGCGTTCCCCATTGGTAGGTCTTAATTATTTCCAAATTTCATTTTTCAGATCACCGTCGACGTCAACAAAGAAAACCGACCAGACGCCGAAAGCACACGGATGACTTCTCCTGGTGATTTATAAGATGTTCTACTTTAGAAAGTTATCTAAAGATTGTAAATTCTTTTGCCAAGATTATTAAACATATTTTCAATCAAAATCAACTGCTTCTTGATAATGTGAGTCGTTGAGCTACTGCCAGTTTGTTCTTTTTTGAGACGACCTGTGTACGTAATAGATTTAACTCTGATTTAATTGTCGACTAATAGTTAAATGAGGAACCGTATACACGTTATCCCAGGTCGCAGTTAGTCATATTAAGTTAGGGCGCATTGCAGAATTTTCGGGGCAGACTTAGGGCGCATTGCAGAATTTTTGGGGCAAACTTTGGGCAAATTGCAGCATTTTCGGGGCAAACTTTGGGCAAATTGCAGCATTTTCGGGGCAAACTTAGGGCGCATTGCAGACTTTTCGGGGCAGACTTAGGGCGCATTGCAGACTTTTTGGGGCAAACTTTGGGCAAATTGCAGAACTTTCGGGGGCAAACTTTGGGCAAATTGCAGCATTTTCGGGGCAAACTTTGGGCAAATTGCAGACTATTTGGGGCAGGCTTGGGGCGCATTGCAGACTTTTTGGAGCAGACTTTGGGACAATATCCCACGTAAGTAGATTTACCCGAAGGTTTTTGCCCCAAAAAGTCTGCAATGCGCCCGAAGAAAATGCTAGCTGGGTTTAGGGAACCTATGTTGTGACATCTCAGTATTGGTTAGGAAAATGACTCAAAACCTATAATGTATAGTATAATTTCGTATGCACCTTTAGTCACGTTTCCAACAATGTAGTAAAATCTTACTTCTCATTTTGGTCAGGATGGTTTAAAAATGAAGGCCTCTGTCACTGTGACGACATCATTTAAAACAAACAGTCTTAAAAGGTTCAATCTTTTTCCTCTTTACCATGTCGATACGTAAAGACGATGTTTCGTAACCTGTTACAATGATTATTGGCCTATTTCAATACAGAAAATGCGAAAAATTTCGATTTTTTCCACGACAGGTATGTGTTCACACGAACAAGAATATATGTCAAAATACTTCTGATAAACGATATCTTCCGTATAAATTAAGACCTTATTGTTCCGACTGAAATAAAACATTGTCAGACGACAAAAGGCGTGCATCAAATCAATACATGAACTTTTTTGAAATTCTAATGTGCTTTTGTATATTCACCGAGCTTCAACGGAACAGTTACAACTACTTATATTAGAGGGAAGTTTCAACCAATGAGATATGATTGAAATACCACAATGGAGGGATCGTCAGTTCATAGGATACCCTCTAAGACAGAAGTGTTTGATTGATAAAAGTGTGGTGAGAACTGGCTGCTAGACAAATCGGAGTACAGCAATTTACGTCAGCGTTTATGTCCTCAATCACGGTCTTGAGAAAAATATGAAAAAAGACCGATACAGCGACCATTCACGGCAGGTGGGTTCAATTTGCAGATAGACAATATGAGCTTCAAGAAACGGCTACAAAGAGATAAAAGATTAACGTTCAGCGAGAAACCACCAATCAGAAGACGGTGTTTGTTTGCTTGAAATAATATATAATAATGTACATGAAAATCTATAAATATCTATTGATTTCGTAAATAAACGATTTGTTTCCTGGAACTTGTCTTCTGCAGTCATATTTGTGACTTCCGACACCGCAATACCTGCTACCTCACTATTTTAGTGCATGCTGAAACATCCATTCTTCGTAACGACAACCTTTTTCTTCATGTTGATCACTTGACCCCCTTCTCACAAAAAGTCTCCCCCAAGGATCGTTTGATGAAGTTCAGGGACGACTAGAAATAGGAACGCCATGCTATCCTCTCCAATTCTAACCCTGCAGTCTGACACTCCCCCACTATATGTACTGTCAGGGAACACGATCTAATACTCTCACATAGGCTTCTAACTACGAGTGGGACCACTGCCCCTGTGTCAGTTATACACACCAACTCGCGGTCATTTACACGTACCTTCAAATATATATCGCCCATTTCTCCATCGCCCCTATTACCACAAGTCTCGGAACACAGGAAGAAGACGCAGTACATCTTTTAAAAATTCTTCTTTGTCGTCTCTCCGGGCAGAGGTTTTACCAGTGCCCCTGTTCTCCACACGCGAAACACCGGTCCCTCCGCACACTCAGTCTCAGCGTGGCTACTACACATTGGAACTCTTCGTCTCGTTGGCAAAGTTAAACTTTAGACACCACTAACAACCAATCAGCAAACGACCTCGAACGAACCAATCGCATTAAACAGGCAAATATGATGAATGGAAATGTATATTTATAGAAAAAAAGCATAAAATAGATAATAAAAAAGGTTACATGGGATATTTTTCTCGAACATGTGAGAGATAATCCTCCCAGTTTAGCATGGGACTGTCAATGGAGAAGTTACATCATATCCTGTACATATATTCATCCAAATGACTATAAATGAGATCCTTTTGAGATACATTTATAGCCCTTATCCTATTTTCCAACCTGCCCCAAAATCCTTCATTAGAATTTGTATGTGTCCTCGTAACGGGATCCACAAAATCACTTGAATGGTTTACTCTATGATGAATATATCCCAGAGATGACAGCGAATGTAGCCTTTCCGTGTGTATAATTGACCCCCGCTTAACAATTCTGGTAACAATAGGTATAAGAGTAGTTGCTTTTCTATCTGCTATCCTTAGGGAGAGAAGCGACCTAGTGAAAAAAGTTCCTACGAAATAATAAAATTATCAGCTTACTCTCTCTAGCGTTAGTAGGCTTCAAACATATAGCACAACGATGAACAAACCCATCAGTTGATTTGGTATAGCTTTTTAAAGTCATGATACCACCACACAATCAAATTTGTTCTTTCCGGAGCTACTCAAATCTAGGAAATACTGGGAAACACTTCCTACATGACCTACCATCTTCAAATGACATTAACTTTGTCAAATATGCTGATGACCTAACTGTATCTTTACCTGTAAAATTTCAAAGTGACTGCTCTAAACTAAATGGCTTCTTATCAGAAATCAGCCAATGGCCCAAGGAAAACGGTCCCACCTTAAACCCCTCCAAATGCTAAACAGTTAATTTCACCTTGAGGCACAAATCTGACCTAAACAAACTGGTTAGGACTCGCGAGATGTGCAACATAGATGGCACTGAAATTGAAACCAAGTCGGAAGTTAAATACCTAGGCGTCACTCTATCTGCTGATCTTTCCTGGTCGTCTCATATCTTGACGACTTCCAAGAAAATATTCCGTCTTACCTTCTACATCAAGAAGTTAAGACTTTCTGGTGTAATCCAACCCTTACTCCTACAATTTGTTAACTTTCGTATTCTGCCTATTATTCTCTATTGTTCCCCCTTAGTCTTTCCTGGGCTATTGAAAAAAGACTATACCTTATTACGTAGGATGTTAAAGGTTGTCAGCAGGGTAAGCAACATGCCACTTAACCAGCTTGTTAATATTCTGGTGGACAGGCACATGGACTCATGTGAAAAATGGGCATAAACCATTTTATCTGACTCACAACACCCTCTACATTCACAACTCTCCCCATGTATCTCTTCAGGGAAAACCAGAAGCCTATATAGGAAACTATATGCCCACACTAGCAAGTACAAAAACTCATCCATAACCTACGTAGCTTGAGTTCTGTGTGATAAAGAAAGCGTTAGGCGGGAAACATTTAACTTATTAAATAGTCAGTAGAACAAATGGATCTCGTCTTTCCAACTCAGCTAGCATTTCCTTCGGGCGCATTGCAGACATTTTGGGGCAAAAACCTTCGGGTAAATCTAGTTACGTGGGGCACTGTCCCAAAGTTTGCCCCGAAAAGTCTGCAATGCGCCCTAAGTTTGCCCCGAAAATGCTGCAATTTGCCCAAAGTTTGCCCCGAAAATGCTGCAATTTGCCCAAAGTTTGCCCCAAAAATTCTGCAATGCGTCCTAAGTCTGCCCCGAAAATTCTGCAATGCGCCCTAACTTAATATGACTAACTGCGACCTGGGATAACGTGTATACGGTTCCTCATTTAACTATTAGTCGACAATTAAATCAGAGTTAAATCTATTACGTACACAGGTCGTCTCAAAAAAGAACAAACTGGCAGTAGCTCAACGACTCACATTATCAAGAAGCAGTTGATTTTGATTGAAAATATGTTTAATAATCTTGGCAAAAGAATTTACAATCTTTAGATAACTTTCTAAAGTAGAACATCTTATAAATCACCAGGAGAAGTCATCCGTGTGCTTTCGGCGTCTGGTCGGTTTTCTTTGTTGACGTCGACGGTGATCTGAAAAATGAAATTTGGAAATAATTAAGACCTACCAATGGGGAACGCCGTCGCCTTCTAATCCTCGACTTCAGTCTGTCCCGACTGTTATGGAACCAACGTTGAATTGATGCTGTGATAGCCTTCACTGTGGTACGTCGGTCAGCATTACCTAGTTTATGTAAACTGCTAATAGTTCCTAGAGAGACAACAATGAAAAAAATTTCACCTACGTATCACAAGAAAAAAGAGACAGAACAAACAATGGCTCACTTCGGACACTTGGAAACTAATATAGGAGAGAGAGATAGTGAAACAAAAGATTATCCAGTGCACGGACGAGCAACAAAAACAGGAGCTGAATGCAAGCTACAATACACTGAACAAAAGAGTGAAGAAAAGTGCCAGGGAAGACAAAAGAAAATATTATGAAACCATGGCAAACGAAGCAGAACAAGCTGCAGGCAAAGGAGACCTCGCCACACTCTACCAAACAACTAGGAACCTTTCGGGCAAACGTTCGACACAGATTAAGCCAATAAAGGACGACAATGGAAAGTCAATCACCAAAGAGGTGGAACAGAGAAAGCACTGGGTTGAACACTTCAAAAGACTTCTAAATCGTCCGCCACCTACAACACGTCCAGCAATACCAACAACGGAAGCAGAACTACCAGTGAACACTGACCCCCCGACGAAATCAGAAGTCCTGAATGCAATCAAGATGCTTAAAACTGGGAAAACACCGGGACCAGATGGAATCCCAGCAGAGGCTTTGAAAATAGACCCAGAGACAACAGCGGACTTGATGACACCACTACTGGAGAAGGTGTGGAAAGAGGGCAAAGTACCCGAGGATTGGAAGAACAGTTACTTATTCAAACTTCCAAAGAAAGGAGACTTAAGTCAATGTAAAAACTGGCGTGGAATTATGCTTCTGTCCATTCCAAGCAAGATACTAAGTCGCATCATCCTGGAGAGAATCAAACAAGCCCTAGATGAAAAACTTCGTCCGGAACAGGCTGGATTCAGGAGAAACAAATCATGTATTGATCAAATCGCCACTCTACGGATCATCATTGAACAAAGCTTGGAATGGCAGTCACCTCTCTATCTCAACTTCATCGACTTTGAAAAGGCCTTCGACAGCGTCGATCGAGAGGTCATTTGGAAACTACTTCGCTACTACGGGGTCCCATCGACAATTATACACCTCATCCAACAGTTATACGACAATGCTGCATGCCAAGTAATCCACAACGGGAAACTTACGGAAGCCTTCGAAGTGAGGACGGGAGTGAGGCAAGGCTGTCTACTATCACCAATGATCTTCCTGATTGCAATTGATTGGATAATGCGACAGACAACGGCAACCAACGAGGGAACAGGCATAAAATGGACTGACACAAAAGACTTGGAGGATCTGGATTTCGCCGATGATATATGTCTGATTTCCCATAAACTGGAAGATATGCAAGTGAAAAGTAACAAGTTGGCAGAAGAAGCATCAAAGATAGGACTTCAC